GCTCTTCCTCGTAGAAATTTGCCTGCAATGGTACTGTAATTGAACACCCCGAATATGGAGAAGTGATTCAGCTGCAAGGTGACCAGCGCAAGAACATATGCCAGTTCCTCGTAGAGGTAGGGCATCCTCGGTCGGCTGTGCCTGCTAGCTGCATTTCTAATTAAACGCGAGTCTCTGTGTTAATAACCACCCGGGTTCTAACTTCCTTAGCGTTGAAAGAGCAGGCTGGTGGAGCAAGCTCTTGCCGTTCTTCTTGAAATTCTTCCTTGAGGCGAACGCCTTCCAGCAGGGTTTTGCAGTCGCGGTCTAATCTTCATTCCGCACTTTAGGGGGGAGCAGAAATGGATGGTTCTCCGGCGTCTGCAGCGGAGGTGGCGTACGGACATGCGCAGAGGCCTCTCCGCTCCGGCGCGCTGCAAGGTGCATTTTCTTTCTTGCAGATTGGACTGGCTAAAGACGACCAGCTGAAAGTCCATGGGTTTTAAGTGCCTGTGGGTCACTGAAGCTTTATGCAAGAAGATTTCCTTACCATGAAGTTCCCATCTCTCCCTTGTCATAAGTTTAAAACCAGCCGGTTTGTGTAATGTAACAATCTTGGGTCCACTGTTCAGTCTGGACTAGTGTAATTCAGTGATGTAATAAACTGACAAGAGCCCATGCTATCTCGTCTTGCTGTCCCTCATTTAACAGAGGTAAATCGGGCGTTTGGCATGGTCCAGCCTGAAGCTAAGAGTAACCAGATGTTCCAAGTTAAGCCAAGGGACTCGGCCTCTCGGTCCAGAGACTGCCCGGATCACTCCTCAGTCCAGCTGCTCTTCATTCCCCGTGGACGGTAACTCTCGCGCTGCCTCCCGCAGTCCTACACGCAGCGAGGCACCGGGAGCCAGCTGTGACATGGCGCGGGGCGATGGCGCCTGCCCTCTAGGCAGTCCTGGCTCCTGGTGGCACAGGGAGTTGGGGAAGCTGACTTGGAGCCGCAGGAGTAACTGAAGAGCGACTTCAAGGCTGGAGGTCTGCAGTCCGGGCCTGGCGGGTGCCGGTACCCTACAAGCCCCATGGCACCAGGCTAGTGTACTCGAAGGAACCCTTAACCTTGGGTTAAACTTGACAAGGGATGGATTTTGGACTAACGCCACAAATATCATTGCAGATGGAGCCGCAGAGCTGCTGTGTCGCTAGCGGCTGCTGCCTAATGCCCTGTGAAGCAACAGATTTTTGGTTTCGCTCTTAATGTTTTATGTAATGTATTTAAAGTCTTATTTAAATAAAGATGGGTTTCAAAAGCATTTGCTGGGTGCATTCAGTTGCTTTGTGGAGCTGAAGTGCCTCGCTTTCTGTGGCACTGGCTCCGTGCTTCGGGTGTTGTCTGAGCAGGAGCGGGGTGGGCTTCCCTCGGTGGTGGGAGCAGCGGGGAGCTCTGCAGGGTCCTGGGGCGCGGTTTGGTGCGGTTTTGGTGCTGTGACCCGAGGCTGAGGTAAACAACAGCCTGCGAGGGGCCGGCTGTTGAGTCATCCCCTTCCTGGGCCGCAGTTCCTTCACCCTCGCACCAGATCTTGTGCTTGTTGTGTTCCCGTAAGCCCGGCCAGCACTTCCGCTTCTGGCAGAGACAAAAAGCCAGTGGTGGGGACGGGGGGAGCCTCTGCCACCGTGTCCAGCCCCTGCTGCAGGCCCGGCGTGGGCTGAGGGGCCTTTCCCTCCCTGGGCCAAGGAGCCAAGCCAGACCCAGGTGCCCTGGGGTGAAGCGCGCCCTTTTCCAGCGGCTCTGGTTAGGGGGACGCCTCCCTTCTGCGGAAGAGAAGGCGAAATGTGCTAAAATCTGTAAAGAAAGTGTGGAAAAGCCCAGGAGCTTCCCTCCTCGTCACCCCTGGCCCTGTCCACCCCACGGCAGGCGATGCCCTGGCTGCAGAAGTCAGCCTGCCCGCTGCCGGGGTGTTGTGGCGAGGTTCGCTTGCACCCCGCGCGGCGGCGGAAGCGCAGGGAGCTGCCCGGGCGGCCGCTGGCGCTTCTGGCAGTTTTCTAAGAACAAGAGTCTTGTTTATTCGCTCCCTGCCTGCAGTGCTCCTGGCTTTCCACCCCTTTTCCACACACACACACACTCTGCGGCGGAGCGCACGGTTCACTTCACTGCCCTTGACTTCCCTGGGAGACTTTGCTCTCGGAAACCAAATTGCCACAATTACGCAAAGCACCCACGGGTGTGC